TTACAAATCGTTTTTGACAAACCAGTAATATCTGCATTACAAATTACAGTTTGACAAACCAGTAATATCTGTATTACAAATCACAGTTTGACAACCAGTAATAACTGCGTTACAAATCGTTTTTGAAAAACCAGTAATATCTGCATTACAAATTACAGTTTGACAAACCAGTAATATCTGTATTGCAAATCACAGTTTGACAAACCAGCTGTCTCATCAAGTGCAACGTAATGTCCCTTGGACCTTATCACAGAGCCAGCTTGAAAATCACTACAGTCCTAGTATAAATGAATGAACAGACACATAAAGATTGAATGAACAATCTCACGAATGAACATTGACAAGTTAATTAACAAATAAATGAAGGAAGAATTGCAATGATAAATAATAGGTGTATGGATTGATGGATGGATACGTGATCAACTGATCAAGGTCACGTAAAATGAAGGTTAAGCAAACGTAGGAAAAGGCATGTGCAATAATATCACAGAGAAGAATGCTCAAGTACCTTGTGCAGTAAGAAAATAACATCTGGCCTACCTCATCCTGGTCTTTTGTTGATTTTGGATACAATTCCATAAATGTGTCAGTATCAGATTGCGGAAGGAAGTACATGCCACTAGACAAGGGCTCTTGGTAGCTTCTAGAACGAGACTTTTTTCTTGGTAGCCCAAAGCATGCATCAGCTGACATAAATGTGTCACCTGGAACCTACATGCAGAGAGCAAAACATTACTAAAACCCTCTTACTATGACTTAACTTACTGATAAGCATTACCTGATCTGATCCTGTTGGACATGCAGGGCACCGCAAGGGATTCAACATGATTGCTAACTTATCTTTCTCTAGACAACAGTTTTCTCTTGCCTTCCAATGGTATCTAGCATGGTTTCAAAAAAAAAAAAGCTTGTCATCTCAGAAAAGTAAAACAATTGATACCTATAGAGTTAGCAGATTACAGCCTATGTAGTAGTAGCATCATTTTCACTTACCTAAACTCTTCGAAACTTTCTAAAAGCTGTCTGTAAATGGTACGATTCTGAAAAAAAGGAAAATATATTGATAACTATAGATCTGACATTCAACATATAGTGACAGTTGGCTGACCACTTGGTACAGTTTATATTTTGCTAGCCACAATACCTTGGCCTGTGCTGCATCTGGTGATGCAAGCAGGCTGTAATACCCTGTCAAAAATCGTTTTGTAGAAATCCAGGTGTTTCACGTAGTCGTACACAGAAACCTGACATTCAAACATCAGTGACTGAAGACTAGTAAGTAAGTCCCAAGTGAATGCAAGGCTTGGGTTACATGGTGTTGCTGGCCACAGATGAAGATGCGCCAAAGTTTCCCCTGGAGTTTCACATTGGCAGAAAGTTATTGAAACATCATGATGTCTACCTATGGAAGTAAAACATTTTTAGGATGTCTTGTCATACAACTATTGTTTAACATCCAATACTAGTATAATTTGTGCCTTTTGAATCTACCACTGTTATCATCCTTTTTTCCTTCCCATTAGCACAGTCATGGAATGGGTTTACCAGTTCTTTCGGCAATAAGTATGGTTTCCACTCTTGATCCTTAAAACAACAACAACAAAGATAAAAAACAATAAAAAGCAAAAAAATCAGTTTTTATTTATTAACATAATATTAATAGCTTACCTGCCAAACCTCTTGAAAATGGAAAATATTTTCATTTTCATGTACTTGATCACAACAGGCCTTACACATAGAAAGCGCTGCACCACCACAATCAATACAGCGATAAATGGCAGTGTCATTACTACATCTCCTACACGTAACACCATAACTAGGGAATCCCTCTGTTGCGAGGGAAATTTCAACCAGCTTGGAACGCAGCTCTTGCCAATGCCGAGCATTGCTTTCCTTTCTTTTTTGGTGGTCTGTAGAAATTGATTGTTCAACTACTGGTATATCTAAATCATGATAAACATGATCATCCTCATCTTCACTTGAATCATTATTTTGAGAAGATTGTACATCCACTACTTGGCCTTCAAAACTAACTTTAGTTTGCACTCCAGTTTTCCTTTTAACATTACCATTTTCATCAATGACATCACAGTATTCCTTTACTGCGTAATATGATTTCCCTTTTTTACTGTTTGCAGAGGCAAAGTACATGTTTTTTTTAATGACAACACAGCAAAAATTCATACAATATAACTAGATGCACATTATTTACAGATTGTAAAGTACATGTTATTTCAGCCAGGGTTCAGCTGCAAAGAAAGGCATAAAAAAGAATCACAACGAATGTAACCCCTTGTTTCACACATTAAAGTACAGTAGTGGTATTTAATTAATATATTAGTAGTTGCTGGTTTGGATATGATACAATGCTGAAAACTAATATCATACATGCAGTACGTCTGTTGACCAGAAAATAGAGTAGTTTTCATAAACCTGTGAAATACATTTTAGCGTATTTAGTACCATTACGCTCTAAATTGTCTGTTTTTTATTGTTTGAAACAGGCTATTACACGCTAATAAGTAAACTTTTTTTTTTTAAATGAAAACCACTCTACTGTTTTTTTATTGATAGTAGTTGCTGGTTTGTAAATAATTCAATACTCAGACAATGAGAACTTAGAACTTATTTTGGTAGCTGCATGTTAACCAGAAAATACTGGTTTGTACAAACAAATTGTTTACTAGTAGTTACTGATTTATTCAAAAAGCTTACTGACAAATTATTGTAAAATCGCTCTATTAGATTGGTTTTCAAAAACCCGTGAAACAATTAGAATAGCACTAAATAAATTACTATGTATTTCACGAGTTTATGAAAACCACTATAATTTACCTATAGTATTAGATTAAGTCTTTAAAATATTTTTTTAAATATGCTTTTTATCGCCTTCAGAATGGAAAGGCCTCAATAAGAAATTTTCAGCTTAAGCAAGACATTTAAAAACTTACCAGTATTTAGTTTAGGTTGGCCCACAGTGCTTGGCTGAGTTATGCAGTGAAACGATAGCAAACAGCGGTGAAAAATAACTTGTTATAAAGAGTAACGTGCAGTATTATGGTTGTAAATACAGTCAATTCAAAAAATGTTGTCGTCGACCAACTCAAGCCTACGCGACTGGACCGAAAGGAACTCTGGGTAGTAATCATTGAAGCCGAGTTGACTCCATAATTTTATCTGACTAGCTATGCCTGGTTTACAGCACGAACATTCGTAGGCGAGCGGGAAGTGTTGAAGGAGAGGTTTTTTTAATGCCTTCATATTTTCGGAATTGTGAACTGAATCATAACTACTTTGTTTTTCTTTCCCTAAACCCGAAGACATGCATTTTATGGATTGCTTCTAGCCATTATTATCTTATTACTAGCGGGAACAATTTATTCAGAACGAATATTTAAGAGTGGATGTCAGAAAAAATCAGACATTTTTGAAATTTTGTGGCAAGTGTGAAAAATTCGATTTGTCTCATATTTTGAAGGGAGGTAGGCTATGATGTAATACAAGCCCCTACGCACTTAGTTTTTGAAAATATTGTTTTATTCCCAAGAAATTAAAATATTTCTTTCGAGGCGTCAATATGCTAATTAGAGAGGTCTAAAAATGAGCAGAATTACAGACCTCCTTTGCTAAAACTATACAAGATTAAACCTTTAAAATATAAAAAAACTTCAAGTATTCTATCTGTTTAGTTAGTAGAGTGATTNACCATTCCTCAAACCGCCTGTAAAACCCGTAAATCTTCGACATCGACCGCGTGTCCCCCTTACTGCTGCTCTTTTTGATGACATGTTTGTCTTTATTGTTATACATGACTGCAAACTTAATGTCATTTTTTCGACTTTTATGGACAATGGATGAGTTCCATTTTCCTATTATGTCCTTAAGCGTGCGTGGACTAAGGGAATACAAAGAGAACAGATCTAGAAAGATCAACAATTGGCTAACCGAACATGATAGTCACAATGGAGCCACATTTTTACAAGAAACGYACAGTCAGACGGATCTAGAAAGTGAGTGGTCAAAGAGAACAAGARGAAAATTGATCATGTCTAACGGAGAAACAAATAGTAAAGGTACAGCTATTCTTTTCGGAAGCAAAGAAAAAGTTCATAGTTATGGAAGGTATGTAATAGTACTTGCCGAAATTCAAGGTAACAATTTTCTATTAATAAATTCGCATCTGCCAAATTTAGAAAATGACCARGTATTAACAATGAAGGAGGTTATACAAACAGTAAATTCGATGAACATTCCAATAGAAACTTATATCATGTGGGGAGGAGATTTTAATTTTTGTTTCGACACTCAGCTTGAAGCGTATGGTGGGAACCCTGTACAAAAGATTAAATCAACAGAAACTATCGAAAACATCATGCAAGAATACCTATATATCTGTGACATTTGGAGACTGCTTAACCCAATAGTAAAGAGATACACATTGAGGGGYGCGGGGCAAGGCAAAAACAGTAAACCCAGGAAACTCTTATAACGTAGACTTGATTTCTTTCTAGTATCAGACGAACTTCAACCCTTTGTAGACAAGTGCGATATTATTCCAGCCCCATCTACCGATAAATCAGCCATTACACTAAAAATTTACAGAACAGAAAAAATCAGRCATTTTTGAAATTTCGTGGCAAGTGTGAAAAATTCGATTTGTCTCATATTTTGAAGTAAGGTAGGCTATGATGTAATACAAACCCCTACACACTTAGTTTTTGAAAA